GGAAATGGACTCTAATGATGGACCTAACGTCAGATCACACCATTTCTCCGGAAACCCTCCCTGCCCCACGTTGCACCCATGGCTCAGGAAGTCTCTGTGACGTGGCCCCTGCCTGCTGTCTGCACACGGGGATTCCTTCTCTTCCTGCTTTGCTCTCATCTCCAGGCCTTTGTACAACTGTTGCTTTAAGTGTCCTCTCCAGGACACTTCCTTCAAATAGCTGGCTGAGAGGCCCCTGACCACTGACCAGGAGCTGCCCCTCCACCCGGAGTCACTCCCCAGCATAAAATCCTGTTTGAACTCTACGCACGTGTCCCTGCTGCTACTTCTCTTGCTTGTGGAGCACCTAGAGCTGAGATGTTGTCATGGAAACAGGGGGTCTTCACTACCATTTCCACTGCTTGTTGCCAGCTCCAGCTCCTAGAACAATGCCTGATAATTCCAAGTTACTTAAATAGACACTGTGTGTGTTCAAGTGCATGCGGGTGCATGTACGTGCGAGTCAGCATGGAGGTCAGGGGTTGACCTTTGGTGTCACACTCCCCCTACTATTTATTTATTTACTTTTTATTTATTTATTTATTTTTTAATTAAAGGTCCCTTACTGGTCCTGCTTCCAAGAGTGGCCAAGAACAAGGGGAAGGGAAGGCAACCAGCTGGCTCAGGGAGATTCATTTCCACATTTCATTTACACACAGAACTAAACAGACAAGCACAGAGTCACTATTGTGGTTAGAAGTTGGCAGCATGGGATGGGGGGGATGAGGAGTAGGGGTGTTGTTAAAAAAAAAAAGCAGGCTCCCCCCAAACTGGGTACCTGGGAAGGGACTTGGTCTACTTCAACCCAAGAGGAATCAGAAGATAAAAGCAGTTTGGGAAGGCCAGAACCGTCAGGGTGGAGGGAGGAAGACGTTGAGGGGGGGCATTTGGCAACTGGGATGAAGGGATTACCCTCCCCCTGCTGGGATCCCCCCAGCCCCTCCGGTCTGGCAGGAAAGGGGCAGCCTGCAACACCCATGAGCAGTCTGGGGCTGCTAGATGCTCCAGGCAGGGGGCTGGAGGCTCACAAAAGCTTGCCCTCCAGAGAGATCACAGCGCTGCCACCTAGTTTTCCTGCCAGGGTGCAGCGGTCCTTGACCTCCTCGTAGCTGTTGGCTTGCAATTCATGCTTGATTCCTGTCAGCTTCTTCTGGATGGCATCCTTGGAGCTGGCATAGATCATTTTGCTCTTAAGGGGTGCACTCTCAGGGGCCCAGAAGATGAACACCAGATCCTCCTTCTTGCTCTCCTTGGTCTCGTAGGTTGACCAGTCCTTGGTCTCGCAGTCCTTGTCTGGCAGCATCTTGACAAAAGTGGTGTAGGGGTCGTCCACAGTCTGCCCCACATCTCCTACCAGGATCTCCTTGCCCTCCTCCAGGAGGATGTTCTTCTTGTCCTCACTCAGGCAGAAGAGCACTGCCTCCTTACGTTTCTTCTCTTCTTCTGGCGTTGAAAACTTGCACACTTTCATGTCATTGAACACCTTGATGATACCATCGGAGACAACCACACCAGAGGCCATGTTTCTGGAATCGAAAGGGAGACAGGAAGAGCTACAGAAGAAATGAGCCGCCGCAGCTGCTGCCAGGATCTGACTCTATTTACTTATTTTTAAAACATGGTCTCTCACTGGCCTGGAGCTTGCTGTGCATGCTAGGCTGGCCAGCCAGCAAACCTCAGGGATCTGTCTCACACTGGAAAGGCTGATAACTAGTAGTTGCTCAGTTTACAAAACTGGGTGTCTTGGTAGTCCCAATCTGGTACTGGAGGCCTGGTCTTCTCCAGGAGGCTGCTGGTCTTCAGTCTATGTTGGAATCCCAAAGAAGCTGCTTCTAATATCAGTGAAGGGATGCTGCAGCAGCAGAATAGGTGGACTTACAAGCAAGAGTGAAAGCAAGCAGGCAAAAAGCAAAATTTTTTCCTCCAGGCACTTTTTATCTAGGCTGCCACCAAACAGTGCCACCTACATTCAGTGTGGCTCTTCCTGCTTCAAATAATCTGATCAAGAAAAACCCCATAGGAGTGTCTTCTGGCTTGCTTTTTAGTTGATTCCAGGTTCAGTAGAGTTGACCACTGAGATTAGCCATCAGAGCCCTGAAGTGCCCGTGTGTGTGCACAGGTCTAGCTGGGTCAGAGCCTGAAAGCTGTCCAGAAACATCATCCTTCCTCCTTATTCCCCTGGGTCCAGCCTGTGCTCACATGGCAGCCAGCCCTGCAGGCTCAGCTCTGTCACTATTTTGCTTAGGCAATGTCTTAGTTAGGATTTCTATTGCTGTGAAGAGACACCATGACCATGGCAACTCTTTAAAAGGAAACATTTAATTGGGGTGGCTTACGGTTCAGAGGTCCAGTCCACTAGCATCATGGTGGGACATGGTGGTACGCAGGCAGACACGGTGCTGGAAAAGTAGCTGAGATTCCTACATCTTGCAGGCAACAGGAAGTGGTCTGAGACACTGGGTGCAGCTTGAGCATATATCAGACCTCAAAGCCCGCCTCTACAGTGACACACTTCCTCCAACAAGACCACACCTACTCCAACAAGGTCCCACCGCCTAATAGTGCCATTCCCTTTGGGGGACATTTTCTTTCAAACCACCACAGGGACCTTTCAGCTTTCCACTGCTCTCCAGGAGAGCTCTGGGAATCCACAGCCACTGAGACTTCCCTCCCCTGCTCCAAGTCATTTGGCCCACCTGCTTTCCCCTTTATGAGAAATGTAATGTCATATTAATAAGCTGTGTCAGAAACGTGGCTCATAAACCCAAGGCACTTTACCACTCCAAGTGTTTAGGAAAATAGCCCTGTTGGCCTTTTCTTTTTCTTTCTTGTTTTTTCCACATGGTTTCTCTGTGTAGCGCTGGCTGTCCTGGAACTAGCTCTGTCAACCAGGCTGGCCTCAAAGTCAGAGTTTCACCTGCCTCTGCCTCCCGAATGCTGGGATTAAAGGCATGTGCCACCATTCCCAGCATGGTTAGCCTTTTCAAGCCAGAATTTCCCAAATGGTTTTGACCATGGAGCCTGATTCCTGCACTCGCCCTGCAGCGCCTGCTCCTGCCTTCGCTGTTCCCTTCCCTGCTCCACCCATCCCTTTCTCTACAGCCTGGGCTTCTGCACTATACAAGTCTCAGGGTGCAGAATCCCAGGCTTCCTCAGTGGTACTCACATCCCCAGTCAGTCCCGTCGCCATGAACACTCTGCCTCCCCTGAATCCTCTTCTCACCCACTTCAGATCCTTCTGTTCCTGGTCTACATCAAAGAGCACTTTCCCTAAGAACCTTTTCTGCACCCTTGGGTGGAAAAAGAATCCTCTTCCCTCACGACTTTTGAGAGAAATCTTGGTAGTGGAGGGCAGGACCCAAGTGTTTTCCCACTCCACAGCATCAGGTTCTTAGAAGGCACTGACTACAAAATGCAAGGAGACAGATTCATGAGTCCAGCCCACCCTGAGCCCCCTGGTCCAGTGCTGAGAGATAGGGTTGTAACAGGAAGCCGAGAGCGGGATGGAAAGCAGTAAGGGTGGTGAGAAAAAGCAAGGACCAGAAGAGAGGAGTCCTCACTGAAGTCCCTTGGCAGGACACTTGCCCTGTCTCCTTGTCTGTACAGCAGTGAACGGTGGAGTATGGCTTACAGGATTCCCCTGAGCCCATATCAAGGGCTATCGGTGAGTGAGATGTTATGGTTGTAGTAGATAGCTTTGCAAGTGCAGAAGTAATTAGTTCACTACGTTTCCAACAAGCGTCAAAGGGGGAAAGCCAGGGTTGTGGTGACACCAGGCTGTCTGAGCCCCCCAGAAGGGCTATTTTAGGGGACCTTGTCTCAGTACATGGGAGCATAAAGCAGATGAGCCAGGCTTGTCCTCTCAGAGGATACAGTGATTAGGTCAAGATGGGAATGAATGGCTGTGGCCTGGTCGAGGGGGCTGCGAAGGCGTTCCCTACAGTAGGCACAGCATGAGCAGAGCTCATGGGCTCCGTGATGAGAATGCATAGAAGTGGGGGGGGGGGAGCAGGACAGGGGCTGAGTCTGTGCGAAGGCAGATGGGGAGGGGCATGGTGAGGACTTGGGTCTGCACCCTACCCCGGGGAAGACGAAGAAGGACAGGAGGAAGTGACTACTGGGGTGTGCAGGAATGAGAAAGGAGCTGTGATTGGGGTGCAACCCGCACACACACACCACAGTCAGAGCCACCTAGGACGTCTGGTGAGAAGCAGCTGCTCCTCAGTGGGTGTTATCTTCCATCTGGGGCACGCTGAGCCTGAGGTTGCAGATGGGGTTAATCACTTAAGGGAAGTAAAAATAACACACAGAGTCAGATCATACTATATTAAGGATGTCAAAGTAGGCGAGGTAATTATAGGTTGAATGGAGACTTGGGGTTGTGTGTGTGTCGGGGGGAGAGGCATCACCTGAGTTACATCAAAAAGGGCTGGGGTGGGGGGTGGGTTAGCCCTTTCTTTATGAAGAAGAGATTCAAGTGGAGACCAGTTTTAGTACAAAGGAGATAGAGGCCACAGTGGATTCCTACACTGCCTTTCATGAGTCCTGGCAGGTGGTGAAACAAGTCCCAGGCCAGACACTGTGATGTTTCAGGAGATGCATCTATCCATGTAAAAATAAATATTTCCTGGTCACTGTCTTTTTGGGGCATAACAATGATCTGAATCCAAGTCCTGTGTCTCCCTCTGGGAAGCACAGACAGCATTATGTGTCAGCATATAATTTGACAACAGATTAATTTAGGAAATGACGAAAGAGTCTAGATTGGGCAGTGATAAGGAGACTGCATGGAGTGGTCCTCTGAAGGAGTGACATTTGACTCGTGTGTAGATGTGTGTGTCTGTGCATGCATACTCATGAGGTAGCATGGTATGTGTGTATCTATGCATGCATACTCATGAGGTAGCATGGTATGTGTGTGTCTATGCTTGCATACACATGAGGTAGCATGGTATTCATGTAAGTCAGAAGTCAACCTCAAGCATCATTTCTCAGGTGTTGTCTACTTTGGTCTAAAAAAAAATTACATTTGAGGGATAGTATGTGCGTACATGTGTACTAGTACAGGCTTGCTATAATGAATAAATCAAAGGACAACCTCAGGCCCTAGCCTTCCAGCTTGCTTGGGATGATTTCTTGTTTGCTGATATTAACTGGTCAGTGAGTTTCTGGGGATTACCCTGGCCCTGCTTCCCTTCTTACCCCAGGAGCAATGGATTGCATGTGTGCTACCATTCCTGGCTTGACATGGCTTCCGGGATCTGAATCCAGGTCCCCATGTCTGTGCGGCAAGCACATTACCCACTGAACCAGCCCCCCAGCTCTCCACCTTGATTTTGAGACAGGATTTCTCACTGACCTAGAACTCACGAATTAGTCTAGGCTGTCCAGAGAGCCCCACGGATCCTCTTGTCTCTGCCTCTGCACTGCTGGGTTGCAAGTGTGTGCTCCCACACCTGGCTTCTCGCATGGCTGCTGGGGATTGAACCTTGGTCTTCACGTTTGCGCAGCAAAGTCTTTACCAACTGAGCAATCTGCCAGCCCAAAGGAAACTTGATTTTCAATAAAACAGTTAATAAATCTCATATTTCTTTGGGAGTGCTTATTTGTTTCTTTTCTTTCTTTCTTCCTTCCTTCCTTTCTTTCTTTCTTTCTTTTTTTTTTTCTTGAGAGACAGGTATAGCCTCCAACTTGCTATATAACTGAAGATGACTTGGCACTCCTGATCTCCTTGCCTCCATTTCCCAAATGTTGGGATTACAAAAGTGTGTCACCATGCCTGGTTTACAGATTTTCGGTTTGGGAATGTTTTATTTCAGTGTGTGTGTGTGTGTGTGTGTGTGTGTGTGTGTGTGTGTGTGTGTGTGTCTGCCACAGTACCTGTGTGGTGGTCAGAGACCAACTTTGGGGAGTCAGTTCTCTCCTTGTACTCTGGGTTCTGGGGATCAAACTCAGAACCACCAGGCTTGAGTAGCAATGGCTTTTACCCTCTGAGCAGCCTCACTGGCTCCCCCTTCCTATTTTTGTGTTTACATGTTAAATATTTGACATAAAATATTTAAGGCAATAGAATATGAAATAAAAACCATAAAGATGAGCAATGAAACCATTAGGAATCAAATGAAAATAAAGAAAAGAAAATGGCATTGAAAATATCTCCATGGAGAGAGAGAGAGAGAGAGAGAGAGAGAGAGAGAGAGAGAGAGAGAGAGAGAGAGAGAGAGAGAGAGAGAGAGAGAGGGAGAGAGAGAAAGCACGTGTGAGGAGACTCTGGGAACCTTGATAAGAGGAGCAGATTGACACTGGTAAAACAAAATGTAAATATTTTACTAGTTTGCACAAACTACGGAACTGACTAAGAGAGCAAAGAACTTATGATACACCACTTCAGAAGGGCGCTAATGACAAGCTGGGTAATGAGCTCAATTAAAAGAGGATTCAGGCTTAGTCACTGTGCAAGGACACTGGAGATGTCCTGAAAGAAACTTAGAGGCTTTCCCAAGATCAACAGCAATCCTAAGAGTTTTTGTTTATTTG